AAGTCCAGGCTTCTGTTATTGCTGTTGTTGTTTCAGCCGTCGTTTTAGAATTACAAATATCAGACAGCTGCTCAAGCTAGATATAAATAAGGTATATATGCAAGTTTGAAGTTTCATCATTATATATGCAGTGGTATTTGCATGCATTTGAGTATCAGCATACGACAAAGAAGATTCACGTCCTCGGCTCCTCTATGATGCATATCAAGCCGTATTACGATAAATTTTGCTATCTCTGTCATAATTATATCAGAACCTTATAGTGTTCACATTCTTCCAGGGTTATCGATTTGCTACCCTATTCTCAGCTGGTTGCATCAAAGTACAGTAGGGAAAATTTCTTGCTCAAGATAATTAGCAGTTAATTAGAAATGTGTACGCCGCTCATATAATGATAAGTGTAAACTCATTCCTTTGCTCCAGTGACTCCTCGCTCTTCCCCAAACCAAAGTTAAACGCATAATATATTTCTTGTTATGAAGATTTCACAAAAGCTAAATCTGAGTGATAAGTTCTGTATTCAGATCCTTCTAGGATACTCCCAACAGTTGTATATATCATGACGGTTCGAATGTTTATAGATTTACTTTTTCATTGTACATTCATCCAACGTTCACATCCATCACTTACACCGGCCGGTCTCAGCTTCGCAAAGTTTCTACTGACGTGATTTTGCAGTACTACGGTGTGTCTGGCCATAAAATTTAGTTTTTCGCAGTTGTTAACGAATCTGCCTTTGGCAGTACTCATTTTCGTCAAAGGTTAAAGAGATGTACTGGAAAGAAGTGCCTTGGAATCATCCACCTTAATTCCAGCAGAAATACGTATTCTGGCCTTAGCCACTACTTTAATATTCTTCAGGTTGTCTTCAGGTTCAGGTCAGGTTCTTCAGGTTGTGAATGATGCGCAAAAATTTCGTTCCTGACTATCACTCTTTTCACTAATTGTTTTTAACCCGTTTCATATGATGCGATTAGTTCGGCGTCATCCAGCCTGTTATCGATTCCCATCTCATCTTGAAACGTTGGATAACGTCTTGACTAAGTTGGCTAAATGGCGTCAATGAAACGAGTCAGTAATGACAGGTATCCAGTCAGACAGGAGACACAAAATTCCGCCAAGTTGACTGTTGCATAACTTTCGAAGTAGTTGCATGAGGAGCGGCGGAAATTCAATTTTCTGCATGACTTATCAAAGTTAGCGTGACTCTCCGAGTTAAATCCTCCGAATAATCAAAGAGTCAGATGTAAGACGGTTAATGAAATTTTTCGGCTTTCCGATAATCACTGGAATGTTTGACATGTTTCACCGTGCCTCCACCGCTCACATGGCTGAATCATACCCGATCGTTTGCAATGTCTAACTTCAGGGTATCTTGCTCCTTCTGACCAAAATTACTTATAGCAAGACCTAACCAGCGCAGAAGGCCAGCAAAATGTTTCTGACTTCGAGCAACAGAGCCATGAAGACAGAATATTTTCATTCGTTTGATCATAAACCCGTCTGTCATAGGTCTCAATATGTAATGATAAAACAAATACAAGAAGCC